TTTAAATTTTATCAAAGTAGTATATGTACACAACTGTAAAGGCAAGAAACTACAGTGGTTCCTACTCTGTCCGTTCTCCCCAGAGGCAGCACCTGTCTTTGCATCTGAGCTTTTTTCCAGCCTGTGCCCTGATTCCAGGTAATAGGCACATGCTCTGAGCTTCTTTCCAGTGCGTACCTGATTCTGGGTCATAGGCATCTTCTCTGAGCCAAGGCGAGTATATTACTGGAGGTCAGGAGTTCAAGAGCAGCCCAGCCACCATGGTGAAACCACGTCTCTACTAAAAATACAAAATTACCTGGGTGTGGTGGTGTGTGCTTTTAATCCCAGCTACTTGGGAGAGGCTGAGGCGGAAGAATCGCTTGAACCTGGGAAGGGGAGGTTGTAGTGAGCAGAGATCATGCCATTGACTCCAGCCTGGGCAAAAAGAGTAAAGCTGCATCTCAAAAAAAAATTATTTCTAAGCCTCATTTACTGCCTTACTTTGTACAGTATTTGATATAATAAAATTTTAATATTACAAAACAATTTGGTTACTTCCTCGGAATTCGTTTTAGTGGTGTGCTTTCTGTGCATAGTCAGATGCGGGTATCTAGCAGTAATGACTTCTTTCATTGTGAAATTAGTGCTTTGTTAAGATTTGTTTTAGTTATATCAAAGCTGCTTGATAATGGCATGCCAATTGTAATTTCCTAGACACTTTTCCAAGAACTATAATAATCAGGTATTAGCTTCTCTTTTGGTCGTATCTCCTTGATGTGTAAATCAAGGATGAATAAACTTTGAGTCCTGAGTATGCTGCCAGTGAGAATAAGCTATACAATGCTAGTAAGTATGACTGTTAAGCCTAAGGTACAGGAAGAGGAGAGAAAATACGAGAAAGAAGTAAAGTCAGTAATGGTAGTAAGAGAGAAGATCACAGTTTGGAGAGAATTGTTTTATGGTGGTTGACTTAAATGTCTGGTTACTCCTTCCTTGATTTTTGATAGCATCTTCCTATAGCTATATCTCATGGTGAAATTATGGTCTGAATATACTTACTTTCTTCTTATTGGTACTTGTTTCCTCAGTTTCTTAGTAGCCACAGAATTGAAAATGGAAAACCTATTTTATTTCGGGGAATGCAGCTTCATCTTCAGGCTTCGTTGTCGCTGTATAGGTTCTTTGCTTCTGCTCTGATTTCTGTATCTTTGCCTGTTAGGAAAAAGGTCTAAGGGATTAAGGAGAGAGAAATCATATTGAGATTGAAATATGTTATTTTTGTTAAAGTTAACTTACAGATTTCAACTAAAATGCTTACAGCCTACTGTTTTACTATCTAGTATTGTGGTACTGCTTTGGGGAAGTTTTTTTTAGGGGATTGGCACTTCATGTTGATCCCGTTTGGTGCATTTAATAGATTGCTGATCAGAAAAATAAATGCATTTGTATGTAAAGGAATTCATAATATATATTGAATTAATCAGCAGTTTTAGACTTTACGTCACTCCAATTTATGGGTGCCTACTCTCTTGTACTTTATATCCAAATTTATAGATCTATTTTAAGAATTCAGAGAATGTATGGAAGATGGCTCTGCTTGCCATGAAGTGAAGAAACCAGGGACTTTCTCCAGAACCTTGGAAGTTGATGTTGGGTCCAGCTAGTGTTCGTCCTCTAAAAGTAGTATCTAAAGCCCAAATAAGTTGCATGGCTTTCTTTTGTTAAATCCAAATAATAACCATTCAGATCTTAGAGGAGATTATAGATATTTAAATACATGTCAGTTACCCAGGATTCTGTGTAAACCATATTCCCATTTAATTGAAACACATTAACAGCTGCTTTTATATTTGTGTTTTGTAGTTTGTTTTGTCCATTGATAGATTGTTTTATTATCTTTCTTTAGAAATTGAATTCTCTCTCAGTTATACCAGTGCTCAATTCCAGTAGCTACACTAAAGAATATGGAAAAAAAGAAGTGAGTCTTTCTGATTGTCTGAATAGAAGTGGATCATTTCCACTAGAACAGCTTCAAAGCTTTCCCCAACTTTTACAGAATATCCATTGCTTAGAGGTGTGTGACTGGACCATGTGCTTCTTTGCATTTTCTGTTTGAACTGTATGGCCTTTGTTTTTTTTTTTTGAGACAGGGTCTTACTCTGTCACCCAGGCAGTAACACAGTCATGATTCACTGCTGCCTTGAACTCCTGGGCTTACGTAATCCTTCCACCTCAGCCTTCCAGGTACCCGGGACTATAGATGTGCATCACCAGTGGGCCTGGCTAATTTTTCAAAAAAATTATATCAGGCCAGCCTCGGTGGCTTACACTGGTAATCCCTACACTTTGGGAAGCCAAGGCGGGCAGATCACTTGAGGTTTCAGCAGTTCAAGACCA